TAGAGGGGAACATGAATGGAGTGCGAGATGTTTCCAAATAAAGGAGAGAGGAGTGTGCAGAAGGAATTAGATGGATGCTTCACAAAGATTAAGTAGAATAAAATTTATCAAACATACTACTCAGTTTATTTGTTCCAAGGCAGGTGCAGTGATTTCAGTCCACTGTAGAGTCAGTAGGAGGTGGTAAAGATGGCAAAAGTAGATTTATACTTTTTAAAAATTAAACTATTGAAGGAAGGTAGGGTACCATTTAGCGGAAGATAGACTTGAGGGGAAACTGAAGAACTTTATTTTGTTTTGGTTTTGATTATAGATAAAAAATCAATAGAGAATGAAAGGTTGAAAATTTTTCCTTCATTACCCCACTATAGAGTACCATTTCACCAGAAAAGTTATAATCAACCTATCTTTTACATTTATAAGATACTTTTAAAATGTTTGAATTTTAAAAATTTATATTATTGAGTTTGAAAATACTTGTAGCTTGATATTTTTAAATAGAACTTTTTATCACCAGTTACTGAAACTATAATACTTTGTCTCAATAAGAGACTTGTAGTCCATTAAACTAGATTTTATATTGTTTTCATCTTGGAGTCCGGGTTTGTTATCTTCTGGTTTGCCTTTCTGTTACCCAAATGTTCTTTTTACCTTCCTTGTTAATTCCTTGGTTAAATTTTTTTTCAGGTCTTCTGAGCTTGGTAATAGCAAGCTACATAATTCGGACTACCCAGCTGAGAACAAAATGCTGGACCAAAACAAAAAAAATGTTATGAAGGGTATCAGAAAGCTAACTGATAGCCAAGCATGGTGGTCAATGCCTATAATCCCAGCACTTTGGAAGGCTAAGGCAGGGAGATCACTTATTTGAGCCCAGCCTGGGCAGCTTAGCCACTTGAAAGACCATGTCTGAAAATAAAAATTAAAAAGAAAAAATAGAATAAAGACTGAAAATATAGGTCAGATGAAGGCCCTGGGTTTAATCTTCAGTACTGCAAAACAAAGCTAACTGGTAAGATTAGGATATAAGGGAAGTCAGAAATCTAAGGAATAAGGCTCCCACTTTTGAGGGTTTCTTCCCCCTGAGGGAAGCAGAATCCAGAAAAATAAACTGAGTTATTAAATGTGCTCTTTACAAGTTATAAGTATAAGGAGACAAAGGATAAGGTCCACCACAGGTAAGAGGTTGCCCTGGAGAATTCTTACTTTGTAACTGAAAATACTCTTATCATTTGGGTAAAGATAAACCAAAGCAAGGGCTGAAAGTATAGCTCAAAGGCGGAGGTAATGCATAGCATGTTCAGGGCACTGGGTTTGATTTCCAGCAGAAGATACACACACACACAAACTGAATAGCTAGGCTCTTCTCTTCTAGAGTGATAGTTTGGCTTCAGATTATAATTTCTGCATCTTCATTAACAAGATCTGTTATTGGTGGTGTCCTTAGGCACCTCATAGCAGAATACATTAATCCTCTGAAGAAATGTAACTGTAGACTGCACATTTAGTATTCAGCACACATTGCAATTAGATACATGGCAAGACAAGATTTAAGAAGTAACAGAGAATAGAATCAGACCCACAGGCCCTATAGATATTGTAGATTTCAGATTTTAAATGGCTATGTTGAGAATTTTTAGCTAATTGAGAATATTTTAGAGAAGTACAAAGTATAAAAAAAGAGAAATTACTATTTTAGAATTGAAAAGTATAATCCCTCCAGTGAGGACTTTGATGGATAGATTTAATGGCAAATTAGACAGCACAGAAAGAATTAGGGCAGTGGAAGATGAGTTAGAAGAAAGTAGCCGAAATAAATGAAGTCTCAAAAGAATGGATAACAGAAGAGGGTTCGCACACAGCACAATGAGAAGTTCTACTATGGGTATCTTCGACTCCCTGAAGAAAAGAGAAGAAAGGGGCAGGCACACTAAAGAGATAATGGCTGAATACTCGAAACTGAAGAAAGTCTGTAGTTAACAGATTCAGGCATTGGCATGAGCCCCTAGTGGAAAACCTCATCTTAAAGTCAATGAGAAGAAATAATTGTGTTCCTTGAGTGATGTCCTAAGAATGGTCTTGATTTTCTATTAGAAACAGTAGAAACTAAAAAGCTAAAAATCTGTGTCATTAAAGTGTTAAAACAGCTATTATCCTGATTCTGTTACCTGAAGTTGCCGGGAAGTGCAATAGAAATGATAAATATGAGTACACAACTAAATGAATGTTGATTGTCTGAATTTCTTATGATCATATATACATATATGTAATTAAAATACATACCAAAATATTGCATATCAGTCTTGGCAGTGCCAGTTTTCAGCATCCTTGTGTCACCTGGAAAGTGGTTAAAAATGATGCTTAATATTAAATACTTCAGGCTGTCATCTCTGGGATAACAACTAGAATAGTTAGCATGTGTTAACTTCTACATTAATGGCAAGGAAATGAAAAATGAGTCAGTCACAATCCTGAAAAGACAAGAAAGGAGAGTGGACAAGTGAGAAGACAATAGAAAAACAGACAAAAGCGACCTGCTTAGAGACACATCAACAGCACACAGGTAGAAAAAGGTGAGAGTAGAAAAGCAAATTGTAGTTCATGCAAAGGTGATGTATTAACGTCAGCCAAAGCAGGCTTTTTTTTTTTTTTTTTTTTGAGAAATGGTCTTGCTGTGTATCCAGCCTGGCCTCAAACTCGTGATCCTCCTGCCTCAGCCTCCCAAGTGCTGGGGTTACAGGTGTGCGCCACCACACCTGGCTAGTAGCAGACTTTTTAAGGTGAAAAGTATTCTGAGAAAAGATTCATTTCACCAGGAAGATAACCTGAAAACACGATCTCAAAATACAGAAATCAGAGAGACCTACAGAGAACCCAGTAGCCCTTAATTGTAGTGGGAGATTTTTGTCTCCGTTACTAACTTACAGAATAAGCAGACAAAAGTAAGCGAACAGCAGTCAGCAAACTTGGCTTCTCAGATAGGGAGATACACATGCAAGTGTTCAGCTGATGCCAGTAACATGTCCCCAGTTTGGTAACAAAAAGTTTCCAGGCATTGCCAAATACCCCCTTGGGGGAGAGACAGAAGTTACCCCTGGTTGAGAGCCACTGGTGTGTAGTGGTGACTGCATCGACTATCCTCTGACCCCATGAAGCTGATATTGAAGGGAGGAGCTATGAGCGCAGAGTCAGTGGGCAGAGTGAATTCCATCCCTGCTCTTTTCTTCCTGTTGTAATTGGCTCTGCTTTTCCGTCCCTGTGTCCTCAGTTGTACAGTAGGGACATAATGGTGCTTGCTTCATAGGGTCAGTGCATTCTATGAAATAGGAATGTGAAGTACTTGGAACAGTGATTGGCATGTCTAGATGAATAATATTCACTTATTTTTATTAATAAACCACAAGTCTATACATTGCTGCTGATCTTTAGTCAGTTTTATGAGGAAGAATAGGGCTGTACTCTCAGTCTGGATTCCTGTTTGCTGGCCTGTGTTTCGAAAGCTTAAGTTACCAGGGAAGAGATACGGCTAGCTAACAGTGGTGATTACTTTCAAGTCTCTGATCCTGTGATGATGTGATTGTATTCTCAGAATAATAGAAAAAAGCTTACTTCATTGTATTCTGACAGTTGTAAATGACAATATTGGTAATTAAAATTTTAAACTCATATAAAAATTACCAAATATTTACAATTTTAAATTAAAGCAAACCTGTCAATTTGTTTAGAATTTTAAACTTTGTGAGGTTGCTATATTAATTTTATTGCCTTGAACTGCATTCTATGGTGAGCTCTTAAAAGTGATAAAGTAATTGCAAACTTCTTTATGAGTTAATGTTCAGGGAACTTTGGAGATATTGTGAAAAACTACTTTAGGTTCAGCATACCTAATCCAAAAAATCCAAACTCCCACATGTTCCAAAATCCAAAAAATTTTGAGCTTCAATACAAATATTTCTATATCCAACAAAATCTAGAATCTGAACTGCCTGGTTCCAAGCATTTTAGAAAAGAGGAAATCAACCTATAGTAGACAAAATAAATGTAGACTAACAGTAACTGCAAGAATCAGTGGAGCAGAGAAATGCTATTAGTTAAAAGCAGTCTGTAATTGTCTTTTTCATTGCTTGAGAAGTTTAAATTGCAAAATGTAGAAAGTGTTTTTGGCTCTCTCTGCTATTTATGGAATAACAAAATATTACTTTAAATTTACTTTAGAATAGTTTCATATTTTATTTTCTCGTCAGATAAGAATTTCAGATGTCTTGATGAGCAAATGTGAAATAATTTGCACAGAATCTGAAATTAAATAAAAGGATTTTTTTGTTTTGGGCAGTACTGAGAATTAAACGCAGGGCCTTTGCACTGAGCTACATACATCTCTGTAGCTTGTATTATTTTTCACTTTGAGACAGGGTCTTGCAAAGCAGTGCCCAGGCTAGCTCAAACTTGCAGTCCTCCTGCCTCAGCCTCCCAGAGTGCTGAGGTTGCAGGTGTGAGAAGTATGTTTATATATAATAGAATACCTTAATTTACTTCATGGCAAGTAAATTGTGATGATAGCAGTATATCACAAAGAAGACTGTCTTTGTGACTTGTAGAAATAGAAGAGTTTTCTCCTGTGAGAAAACTGTACGTTTTTCAAACTTTGGTTAATAATAATAATATATCTTCAAATATATGTTTAAAAAATGTCTTCAAAAATGGTTTATTATAATCATTAAATATGTAGAAAGAAATGGTCTATAATTTAGTTTTTAATAGCTTCTGTTGACAGGTTTTGAATTAACTTCTAATTATGATATGGTCATATCGGTCAGTTTCTCACACGAGCAAGAAGTAACTACAGTTTGTTTGTACAGTTGGTTTCCCCCCAAACTGAAATCCCAGGGAACAAGCCGCACTGTGTGTGAGGTGTCTCCCTGGCAAGTTCTCTTCAGTAGTCCTTGACAGTACTCTGACAGAAAAATGACATTCATAGGGATTTGCCTCTATTTTTTCAGACACTGGCCAAAAGAAGAACCTAGAAAAGAAAGATGGGAGACGAATGTCTTTTCAGAAACCTAAAGGGACTCTTGAGTACACTGTAAGTTACTTGCTTTTGAAAAAGCAATTTTTATTTGTAATTATCTTATTTAAGACTCTATACTACAAATAAGGAAAGAATTGATAATTGCCTTATTTTTAAAATCTGTGCTCCCTTTGGGTAACTTTTATTGTTAATAATACTTAAGTTCTGAATTACATGTTAGGATTTTTTTTCCTTAATGAGACGCTTTACTGTGAGCTACAGAGATAGCATTCCAGCAAGTTTAATATTGATGATACTTCACTGGGGTAGTAAGAATAATTCTTATTAGGTTAGGCTTGTAGGAAAATATTTGCTTTTTTAGAAACATAATCTTCATTATGTTGGCACCAGTGCTAATACTATTGCGTAACAACGGAGGGAACACTGGGAAGATGAGTTGACAGCTCAGCTTCATTAGCCCTGAAAATGAAGCTTTTCCTGTGTCCTTGAAATGACCCTGTGCTTCTCAGCTCTGGGTACTGAGGGGAACTGAAGTGAGAAATTGACTGTATGGTGTCCCGCTAATTGGAATTAATGTAAATATTGTTTATTTAGGTAATGTTAACTTGTTGTAAGACAGTTATTTTAACTGAGGCTAATTTTATTAGTGTTTTTCTAACGTATTAGAGAAAAAACAGCTACTTTATTCATGTATTTAGTATTAATTTATCATGAAACCTTTTAGTAAGAATCTATTATTTTCCATGAATACTTAAAATTGAACAAATTTTCAGAATTTTGAGTTAGATTCTATTTTTGTGTACTACATAATTATTTGAGATTTTAAGTATTTGGGGAAGGTCTGATTTTTAAAGTAGGATTACATTTATTACTATCAGAAGAATCTAAAGCATATTATAAACTGAATTGCTTATGTTTGTGCCTATATAGTTGAAAAGTTGAGTCAGTTCATGTGGTAAAGGATTAAATAATATAATTTGATATATTCCTTAGCATTTATTAAGGCACAAGATTATAGGCTTAAGGTATAAGATAGTTATTTATACATGTAATCATGATTATGCAGATTTGTAAAGTTTTGAATTTAGGAATTTACCATTTGTTCGCTGTACTTCAATGAAACTTCTGTTATCTGTAGCAAAATTAAAGTTAAATTTAGAAACCCTATTGTTTTGAAGAGAAGGCTAATTGAAAAATTTTGCCTAAATGTTACAAATAAGCTTTGGAAAATCAAGTATTGACTAGAAATCATATGAAACATCTTCTAAGAGGTCTTTATTTGGACTTTTATTTTTTTATTTTTTATTCTTTATTCCACATGCCAAATTCTAAAAGAAACACTTTTCTAGAACTAGGTAAGATACCATTTTATACTCTAGTCTTACTATAGTCTCCAAAATACTTATACAAAATTTAGGAAGATTTCGTATAACATCTTTAAATAACATGACTTTATTTAGGACAGTATATATTTTTCTTAAATTTTATATCACAGTGTTTCTTCTAAAATATTTATGATCTAGCTCAAATATATTTCCAGACCACATATATATATATATATATATATATATATATATAATATATACTATAACCTTAAGGTATGGATATAAATGTAGTATAAGTATGTATAACTTTAAATTTATGTATTGTGTTTATACTGCCTAATTATACAGAGTGATATCACTAAATGGAAATCAAAAGTAGATCTTAAAAATGCTTTACAATCCTACCTCCTTCCTTCTCAACTAAGATTCCGATGACTTCCCACTCAAATATCCCTCTTACCTTCAGACCCAGGGGATGGTTTTACTTCGGACTCATCCTTCATTCTCTCTAGTTTTACTTTCTTCTTCCTGAGGTTGTGTTCTGTCAGTGAGGATTTATAACTGGAAAATCAGATTGTGTCTCAAAAATCTGCATTGTACCCTCTTTCCTGGCAGTCTAGCTGGGTATAGATTTGTAGGTTGACAGTTACTTTTCTTTCAGCATTGTGGAGATAATGATCTTTTACCTTGCGTTCTTCTTTTGCTCTGTTTTTGTTCATTTCTAGTTAATCTTTTTTCCTTAGGTTGCTTTTAAAGTTTCCTCTTTGTCTCTGTAGTTCTACAGTGGCACTGTGATAAGCCTAGATTTAGACATTTTATTTATATTGGTTATAATGTTTTTTAAACCTTAGAAATCATATCATTTATCAATTTTAGAAAAATTATCAACCTTCTTCAAGTATGGCCTCTCCTGTATCTCTTCTCTTTTCAGAACCCTGCTTTATTCTTGAAACTAATTGTGCTCCACTTTGCTAGCATTGCTCTTCATTGTCATGTGTTCTTGCTCTTGTTTTAATTGTATCTTCCATCTACATTGCTGGCTGCTCTTCTCTTCTTGATCAGATGTGATTGGTCCCTTATTTCTTTTCTCTTTTCTACTGATGTTGATTCTGTCCCTTGAAGAGCTTAAGAACTTCATCAACTATATGGAATGAGGCCAAGCCTTTTTCTGTGCTTACCTGTCTAGATTCTGACATTTCCTACTGTCACTTTATATTTGACAAATTATAGAAAACCTCCTCTTCCTCCATCCCTCCACAATACTGGATTTTCTTATTTCCATTCATTCTGTTACTCATCCAGGCTGGAATTTTTAGAGTTGGCATCTGTTGCTTTGTCACATTTATTTCCCTGATTTAACTGCTATGACTAGCACAATTCCATTCCATCTATGGATGCTTTCTCTTGAATCTTGGTTAGAAATCTCTACCTTCATCTCTTTCTTTAAATGCTATTCCATAAAGCTAATCAACTGTGGGAGTGTCATTTTGGTTTTTCTGCATGTATTCTCTTGTCCCAACCTGTTTTGTATATGTCATAAGGTGCCACTAAAGCTGTCTGATTCCTGTGCTTTATAACTGTTGATTTTTAAATTACCTTTATCATCCTTTTAAAAGGCACTGTGAGGATAAAATACGTGATTAATAAGAGTGTACTTTGAAAATTCTCAGATATTACCACAAAATAACATGGGGTTTTTAAATTATCTCAATAAAGTAGATGATCTATGAGCATATTATGTAGATGAGGGAGATTGCACAGATGGAAGGAAACAGAACTAGATTAGTACCTCAAGTATTTGGGATAAATTTGGTTTTACAGAGCCATTAAAGAAAATATGTGCATTTATTGTATTTTTACCCGCCACACATATGTCTACTTTTCCTGATTTCTCAGTCTTCTGCAACATAATTCTAAATGCCTTTTAGCCCTGTCCTTTATAGAAATTTAATTCTAGTTACTCACTGTCTTTGAAATCTGCTTCATGAAGATGCTTTGGATGATTGAGGTGGAAGAGATAGTATTCCACAAACATTTTGTATTTGTATGCCTCCTAACCTTGTATTATCATTACTTTGAAACATTTCTTGTTAGTTATCCAAGATGAAAATATTGTCTATTGAATACTCCAGATGTATTGGTTATGAAATTTTATAATTTAGTTTTTCTGTTTTGACAGATTAAAATAACTTATTCTTTCTTTTAAATAGGTTGAATCAAGAGATTCCTTGAATAGCATAGCCCTGAAATTTGATACAACACCCAATGAACTTGTTCAGTTAAATAAGTTATTCTCCCGATCAGTCGTGACTGGACAGGTATTATCTTTGTTTAAATGTGTTGATGTTTAGAATCATTAAGTAGAAAATATTCATTGCACATAGTTAATAATGTAGAAAATTTGAGAAGAATACTTTTATGTGTGCTTTGAACATATTGGCCCTATGAGTGAAAGCTGTCTTTATGTCTTAATTGTAAATTGACTTTTCAAATAAAGCTTTAGAATTTTAAAAATTATTCAGCGCAGTACTATGTACAGGTATATGATTAAAAATTCCAATTTTTAAGTTATTTTTCCATTTCAAATTTCTAATTTCTTTTCCAGAAACAGCCAGTTAGGAGGTTGCATCTACTTTCAGAAATATTATACCCTGTTTTGGGGAGTTTTGTTTGTTTCTTTCCTTGTTCTGAATTTAACTTTGAAAATGTTCCATCTAAGCACAACACTTTTTCATGTGTGCATAAGATGCATTGTGTTGATATACCATAGTTTGGTTAACTAGTTGCTCTAAGCTTTAGGGTGTTTCTACTCCATTAATTTTAACATGGCTGTGGTGAACACTCTCGCACTTCTCTGTATTTATATGCATGTATTTCTTAGGGTAAATTTCTAGAAGTAAAATGGCTGAGTCAAAGAGATATGTGCATTTTAAATTTTTTTAACTATTGCCAATTTGTCTCCAAAACAAGGGACTCTAGTATTTGAGAATTATTGCTTCTCACCACCTTTTGACAGTATGTCTTATCAAATGTGTCTCAATTGATTTTGAATATTCTTTATTTTTACTATGTTAGGCCTGTTATGGTAATAAATATCACTGCATTCTGAATATTTTTATTTTTTCTGTTTATTACTAAAGATCATTTTAATGGTGCTTGCTTACAGAAATCCTCTGATCACTAACATCACAGTTTAACTGAACCTCTATGTGACATTTTCTTGCAGGTTTTGTATGTTCCTGACCCTGAATATGTCTCCAGTGCTGAGAGCTCTCCATCTCTAAGCCCTATAAGTCCTCTGTCCCCAACGTCATCTGAGGCTGAATTTGATAAGACCGCTGTAAGTACTGCTCTGTGCAGATAGCTGTGGAGAAATCCCTCTGTATATACTGCATTGCTCATGTGTTTTGTTCTTCTCTGACTATGGTTAGGATGAAATCATAGCTTTTCATTTTGTTAAATTTCTAAGTCTCAGTTTTTAAAATGAAACATTCTTTCATTAAACCAGATAGTTTAAACTGATTTATCTTCTTCGGTGGCAATGGTCCATAGATATAAACTATATTGTAGACACTAAGTAATTTAGTTTACAAAGGAATTTTGCCTAGAAAACATGAGATTATCATGATAGGAAGTTCCTGTACAATTTGAATTTTATTTCTATTTCTGTAAACATATAACACTAGTACTTAGAACTCTTAAATGAGTGCACTTTGGTAGTCTGCCTTTTAAAGATAAATTATCTTAGTCACGTTCAAGTATTAACATGAGATTAATTTATCTAACATTAATAAGAAATGTGCATTCTGTGCACATTACATTTTACAAATGAATATCAAGGAACTAAACTTTATTAATCAGTTTAATTGAGCTCTCTGAAAGGAAGTGTGTCTCTTTGCCCTTTCTGTACGCATCAGTTCTCTCCGTAATTTCCCACTTTCATTAAGAGCTCTTGTTTCTGTGTGTGAGGCTGTTCCTGTGCTCAGTGCCTGGGACCCTGCAGGGCTTCTCACATGGCTTTGGTGACTTTGGAGACACCTTTTTTCTTTGCTGCCTCCATTTGGCCTCATAACACTTGAGATACCAAATGACAGGCCAGAGATTTAGCTCAGTGGTTCCGGCGCCTGCCTTGCAAGCACAAGGTCCCGAGTTCGATCCCCGGTACCAAAAAAAAACAAGATACCAAATGACAAACTGGTAACAAAATATAAGTTATTAATTAATTTACCCTCAATTACTCATTTCTAAGTTCTAGTTCCATATTTACTTTCTAAGCTCTAGTATTCCTCTTCTTTTGTGGAATAATTAAATATTATTATTGATAGCTTTATATCCTTGCCCAGGGCCTTTTTGCTCTGTGTGTGTGTGTGCGCGCGCGTGCACGCGCATGGAGGGGTGTGTACAACATGTGAGTGTGTGAGAGAGACAGAGGCGTGAAGTCTTCCAAATGTTTACCTGTAGCATTTCTTGTCTTTATAAATACGGAAACGCTGTACTTCAGAAAGCCACTTGAAAGGAATGAGAGTGAGAATGTTCCCTGACCTGAGGAGTATCCCTCATTTGAAATGCTTGGGACCAGAAGTGCGTCAGCTTTTGAAATGTTAGCATGTATGTAGTGAGTTGTCTTGGTGACGGGCCCGGAGTTTACACGTGAAGTTCATGCACATAGAGTGTGCATCTGAGACACAGAGCCTGAGGGTGATTGCACCCCAGGTGTCAGTTTGCCTGAGTTTGAACTCCAGCCAGTCACCTAGGGTCAGATTTGAAATTGGCCATTTGTGGCCTCCTGGCAGCACTCAGAAAATTTTGAGTTTTGGAGCATTTCAGATTTCAGATTTTCACCCAAGGGATGCTCAGTCTGTATATATTTGTTGTCATTATTGATGAAGAATAGAAATCAGATTTTAATGGTAGCTATTGCTGAGAAAAAGGACAAGCATAAGAAAAACTTTCAACATAACCATACTATTTTCCCAAGGGACTTACAAAGATAAGAGTTGTGATTGAAAATAATGCTCAAATTAAAAAATATATAAAAATATATATAAAAAATATATTACAGTGAGATGCATTGCCAGTAATCCCCTCAGGAACCATCACTCTTGCCACTTTCTGAAGCAGCTCTGGAAGTCTTCTTTTGTGTCTTTAGTTGCACTGTTGTGGCTGCCTTGATATCCTGAATCAATTCAAAATATTTCCCTTTTATAGTCATTTTGACTTTGAGGAAGAGCCAGAAGTCACAGGGTACAGGATGAAGACAGATAGTAATGTTTTAGGAGCCTGCCTTTATGTAGGATGCACTGGGCAAAAGCTTTTGTTGAATTTTTGATCACAACTCTTTCATACACTCAGAAAAGAGGACTTCCAGAACTGCTTCAGAAAGTGGCAAAAATGATGGGATAAGTGTGTTGAAATAAGGGATGAGGATGGGGGAGTATTTTGAGGTGGATTAATAGCAATCTGTCTTTCACTATAATAAAGTTTTTAAAATTTAAACATTATAGTTTTGTATTGCCTTCGTATATGCATAAGGGGGCAATTTCGAAAGAAAACTGGGTAATGTTGGGTTAATTTACCATGTGTTTCAAACCCTAAAGCAGGATTGTGTAAAAAGGTAAACTCTTAACGTCTTTGCAGACTAGAAGCCCATGGGGTCCCCTCCTGTCCCTCTGCTTTAAGCCAAATCTGCCTATCCTTTGCTTTCTTGGAAAGCATGAAAAGCACCAGCAAGGTGAAAATGTTCTCCTATGTGAAAGTGTTCTCTTCAGTTTTGCCATGGAGTAAAAGTTGGAGAGAATAATAAAGCCTGGTCAAAGCTCCTGTCAGAGGTGGCCCAGAAGTATCCTTCAATATGAAGACTCCTGTGAACAAATTCCTCCCCTTGGGATGGGTCAGAGAAAAAGGTCAGAGATGAAAGAGCTCTTCAACTTCCTTTCCCCAGGATGATAGCCATCAGTTTCTGTCAAAAAGATTGTGTGCAGTAGTTAGAAAGGAGTCTTTTGAACAGTGATTTTATAATCTTTAGTTATTTTTAAATATGTTATCGGACTCCAAAATATTCCTGTGTAATTATCTGCACATCTCAAGTGCTGATATTTTCTGTACTGTAATTGTTAGATCTCTTCTACTTCATATCATTAATGCGTATCCTGAGAAGCAAGGACATTGTTTTATTAAGTAGAGTTAGTATTCATATTCAATAATGTCTATTAGTATTGATTGTTACTACATGTTCTTCCCAGAAATTGTCATTTCACATTCCCAGTGGCCACTAATAGGTTTCTGAATGTCTGGCTTCGTAGGGGCTTACCTGTGAGCCTAAAATATTTTGCTCCTTGACTTTGTAAAATTATACATAGTTTGATTTTTCTTTTTTTTTAGTAATTTGTTTTTGTATCAAGTATAATCTTTGGAAATTTACAGGACCAAACAATTTTTTCCCTTTTTCTGTACTGGTGGATGAAGACTCATAGGAGGTGCAACCCAAGCAAGAGTGGAAAAAAGGAGAAAATGGCTACATTGACTGTGTCCGAAGCAGTTCTAAGCACTTTGAGAGTATTGTCAGTGTGGCCTCAGCTTGGTGAGGGGCCCTGGCCGGCGCGTTTGTGTGCCCCTTCATTCTGTCTCCCTTGGGCGGCAGTGGGCAGCACTGGACTCCTGTGGGTCTTGGCCTTTCCGGCGCACCAGCAAAAGATGAGTGCGAAGGGAAGAGAGTAAGACGGGAGCATGTTTCCTCCTTCCAGGATCACCACAGAGCCGACATCCCTCCACATCTCTCTCCTCCCGCCAGCCACCCTTTCTTCAGAGCCTTCTCTGCCTTCATTTAGGCCTCTTGCTCTCGTCCTTCCTCTTTAGGACCTCGGACCAAAACAGGCCTGAAGTTTTGTATTCTTACCTTGATGAATAGTCCTGTTTTTCATTTTTCTTAAAATTATGCAGTCTGATGCACTGACCAAATACACTGTTACTTCTGTTTTACAGAGGAAGACTCTAAGGGCAAGAAGTTAACTAATTTGCCTCTCAGGTCACTCAGGAAGCTAATAGCGGAGCTAGGGTTTTAGTTGATGTAGTCCAGAGTCTGTGTTCTTTGTTACTCCTGTGTACTGGGATTGATAACCCAGACACTGCAGTTGCTCTGTAAGTAATGGATCGAAAGATAAGTGATAATTACCCATTGTAAGAGGTTGTAGGGATAGCTGCCACTTTGCCCTATTTTCTTCTCATAGGATTCTTTAACTTTCACAGCCTTTTTATAAATATAGAACCTACTTTTGTTTTCTACTCCTTTTCATCTTTATTCATTATGCTAATGCCATTGTAGGTTAGAACTATTAATGTGATATACTTAGAAATTCAGAGTAAAAATGTTTAAAATAAGTAATGTGGAAAAATGAAATAATTTTAAATTTTTATTTATGCTTCTGTTAATATACTCCATTGAAGGAAGGGATATGCAGATACTCATTTTCTTTAATGTAAAATACTTTGTATTATAATCAATTTAATAGATGATAGTAAAAATAGAATTTTTACTAATAATAATTGGTTTGGAAATAGAATTTTGAAAAACTATTGAAAAGGTTCTAGAAAGTACCTACATGAAATCCTAAAGGAAGAAAAACTATTAAAAATCAGTGATGGAGTTTAGGCATATTAAATGCTTCTCTAACTGCTGTAGTTGTTGTCTTCCACCTAAGCATTACTTACTGTGTACTTTGTTTAGAACATTAATCTACAGTAAATAAGTTATCAGCTCTATTTTAGTTTTTTTTTTTGATACTGGGGATCGAACTCGGGTCCTTGTGCTTGCGCAGCAGGCAGTGAAACCACTGAGCTAAATCCCTGGCCCTATCAGCCCTATTTTGAAAGTGAAGAAATTAAGACCCAGAGAGAAGAATGGCGAGTTCACACAAGTCATGCAGTGGACAAGCGGTAGAGCTCAGGTGTAACCGACAGCGTGTTGTGTTCTCTCCACCTTTGGCACTGGCCGAGGAACCAAACGCTGAGGACCGACAGTGCAGAGACTCTACAGCCAAGACAAACCGTGTCCAGTCTCAAGTGTCAGACAAGCGTGGGCGGGACAGATGGAATTTCAGCTTGACCAGAGCAAGAATAAACGTTAGCTTATAATTCAGAAGTGCTGTTTAAAATGATGAAAAGGTGAACAGAAGCATCAGCATTGCAGTTTTTAACATTGCTGGACTTTTAAATAAAGCTGTTAGGCTATTTACATGACTTCAACGTTGTTAGTCGCCTGCATTCATTTTTTAGCCTTTCTGTAACAAAGGATCACGGACTGATGGTGCTGTGACAGAAATTCATCTCCTCAGTGTGGAGGCC